CAAACGTAGATTGGAAAATTGTGTCCCTCTGAAGTAGAGTGCCGCGTGTCTTGCGGCGCGAAGCATAGTCGTTCTATAACGACGTAGACGCCCCCTTGCTTCAACACATCGGGAAATTAATAATTTGGTGAGTTGGTTTGCTTAATTCATCAGACCTTGTTAAAAATCACCATACACCGGAAAAAACTGTCTGGGATTGCTCACGAGTATTCGTTCGGCCGCGAGGTGTTGAAGATTACATCCTGTCACGTGATTTGTATACCCCATGGAACAGACTAACCAATAATTATACATGAGACATGTTGTTTAATATATTGTTTTATTACCGAAAGGCACCAAAACTAGTCTGATTTTTAAGGGCAGCATTCATAGGAATTCTTTTGCGACAAACCCCTCGGTTAAAATTCTAAAAAAACATGGCGTTTTGAGTATTCATCTCCCAAAAGGATATATACACTGTTTCCTCACACCTTTGTCCATGGCCTACATTGTTTGAATAGTTCTTTTATAGTATAAGATCTCCTTTCATAACATTCTCGAAATTTTGCACGTACAAGTGAAAAATAAATCTAAAATCTATTTTGTTTCCTCAAAAAAACACAATAACATATTTGCGTGTGTTTTATGGAGTCGTTGAGCAAATACACGTACACTACTGGTTTATTTTGTGTATATGCACTGTACTGTTATCTCACTATATCGTCAATTGCAATGATAGGATATATCTGTGAATCACTTCGCAATGTATACTACATCTACATCGCTTCCAAATCTACGAATATGCGATATACCTTCCGATTTCCGACATATCTTACGATTTCGGCACACTGTGTAATATACCCCCACGATGTCGGCACACAATGCGATACATCTTTTCTATCCCAGCATGCTTTGTGATATATCTTCCGATTTCGACACATACATGCAATAAAAAATCTCACGATTTCGACACACTATATTATATACATCGTATGCTTTCCACATACAGTGTGGTATACCCCACGATATATCTCATGCTATCTGCACAGCACATAGTACGAATTAACCCTCGACTTCGGAACACAATACAATATACGTGACGATTTCAACACACATTGCGATGTATGTCACAATTTCGGCACATCGTACTATGTGGTTTTCAATTCGATACACAGCGCGATATAAGCTAAACGTTAGACTTTCGACAAACAAGTTGTTCGGGCTCAAATTTCGATTCGCTAAGTTGCTGAGGAAATTTAATATCGAGCAGCAAAATATATGAACGAGTTAGGTCCGACGAGTACTACATATATCTTTCTATGGCTTGATTTCAAATCTCCCAGCAACGACACAATATGAAAATTAATCAACGCTTGTTCTACCTTAAGATTTGACACTGATTTGAAATGAGATTTGTTTTTCATGCACGAATGTGCACACAGGCGTGGAGAACTGGGGAAAAAGATAAATGCCGAGTCGAAATATATTTGTTGCTTGTTAAAAAGTTGGAATGCTTGTTAATTTCAACACGGGTTGCATAAATTATTAATATTTGAAATCATTCACAACAACTCCATAAACTATAACATACTTTAATTATACATGTCATAATTAGTGTCTATGACGATAACATATAAGAATAATAACATATATTAAATATAAGTACATATATGGTAATGGAATAATATGAATTAACAATTAACCCTAACCCGGTAATCCGTGAATTACGAAGAACAAAGGTCAGACTAAAAATATGGTTTAATGGTAATCGTTATTTTAACATAGTCTTTATGAATACATGTACAGTTCACTGCATAACATTTTGTATATATTTATCTATATCACTTTTCACTGCAGATTTGGGAATATCTGAAATACCACCGCCAAATCTCATACATTTGTTTAAAGGAATTTAAATATCGCCGTAATGGTGACGATGAACTATTCGTTATCCGCCGTTTTTCGTACTATTGAAATGGCGTTTAACTAATGGAATTTTCATGTTCAAGTACGCCCCCCCCCCTTTCAGCGTTAATGAGAAACAATGCTGTGAAGGGAGTGACGTTTATTTTTTTTAAAAATCGTAAGTCATTTAAAAGTAGTCCCTGGCAGATGTGCGTTATAAAACTATTTAACGCTCCGCGGCTTCAAATCAAGTATGCTTCAGTCACGTACGATGAAGGCGTTTCTGATTTTCTGACAACCGCGGTTTGTTAACCCGATACGAGATATATCTATTTATCTAAAAAACTTATATAGCGCCGGTATCCAAAACTAAGTTTTGTTCAAAGGCGCTGAAATACGAGATACTCAGAATTCACGTTGCTTTGCAATTGTGAAACGTTCCTCTTACCCAAATATGGTGATTATTACCACTGCTCGCGTATTACATTTTATAGTCTGGCGTTGAGGGCGGTGCAATGTGATCTGATATATAAATAAATATGCGAACACTTCGAACGTGAGAAACTGAAATTGATAAAATATCAAATCATGCGTAACCATGGTCACGAATTTTATGGTCGCACACGAAGTATGCTTTCTCTGAACTGCTTAATTGTTACACGATGCAGATTATTTTATTAAATTAAACAAAACAGAATTTGTATATTCATGCGATAAGCACTTGCACTGTTCAGTCACGGTTTGAAAATAACCCCCATCAGTTAGACACATCTTGAATGGAATAATACAACACTGGTTTCACAATACTACTAAAAACATGTGATCGACCGCAAATAACACTATTCACATATGTCCAAAGGACTATAACTATAATACTGGTAATATGGTCACGAATAAGTACATCACAATCGAAATTGAAGATATCATGATTAATACAATTTTAACATTATAAAAAATATTGATATAATACACAATAGTAAGGTCGTATATAATTTACAGATTAGCATACACATACCGACAATGAAATAGACACAACGAGTCATTACAACAGCTTATTTACATTATAGCAGTTTTGTTTATCTCTAAGAATTTGAAAAATACGTTTGACGTTGCTTGTTGTTTGTAGATATGTTTCTAGATAAATGTGGAAACATGCCGGATACTACTTTGTGAATTATAATTACCGATCTGTGTACTCAAATACACGAAAGCTGTTTTGAATTGAAAAGACATTTTGCTTCCCGGGGGAGTGTATTTTTCAGTACCGGTAACATGTTTTATGAGGGCGCCCTGATAAAAATGTTGCCAAGCTGCAAGCTGACTATCGTATTTGTCCACCCATTCCAAAATATATTCAGTTGATATGTATAATAAACAAGATGACATGATCTTTCAATCGGATAGGTAGATGTTTGTTGATTGATTCAACGTTTGACGAATACAACTTCATGAAAACCTATTACTATTTAGAAAAAACTCAAATCTATAAAATTAAATATTAACTAATACGACCATGACTGAAAGACTTGTTTTAAAATAAGATAATGTGTTAATATATATTAATAACAATAAACATTTCTTAAATCTGAAATAATAGAGTTTCGTTTTCAAAGTTAATCGTGATTGTAAAACTAGACCAACTATTTGGACTATATTTCATTTTTTATATATTAAAGCGCGGATGTCGGCATGCAGCGCGTGTTTGAATTTTATTTTTACACGCGTTTTATGCGTCGATATCGAACAGGACGCGGCGCGACGACCACCGCACTTTGCACATTGTTCTTTGGCATGAATAAACAGCTGCATTCTATTCTACATAAATTAAGCTCTAATATTATCACCGGATCTATCTCTAAATATTATTAAATACACAGAACAAGTCGTCACATTACCGTAATGAAACACGCGAGACTTTACTTGGATACAGTTATCACAATGTATTTTTGAATACACTGCCATTCTCACATAAAAAAACGCATACATTCGAATATGAAAAATAACTGGGCATAAATTACCATAAGTGATGCGAGTGTTAATTATTGACGATATTACTGGAAATAATTACTTAATATGCACATTCAATGTCACCAAAATACAGAACCGCATCTGTGTCTAATTACCATGGCAATTTATATGACAATCACTCATCTCTACAAATCAAGTATAATTTACACAATTTCGAAGTATTACCGACATCGCATTTATGGTACGCCATAACGCCATCACACTCACAGTCACCTCACCGTACCTCGACGCATTACTACATCACATTTCCATTTACTCACTACAAAAAAATCCGTTTACCCCGAAGAACATAAAGAACAATATCTTTTGCTCGACTCAAAGTAGCAGAACGGTAATCTGTCAAGTAATGAATTATGTCTATCACTGAACTTTAGTGCTGATGGCATTTAACAATCGTTTGATAGCGAACTTCTAAGGCAATATCATGGATAGTAAGCTTTTTATAACTGTTTCAATATTGTCTTTGTTATGGTATGTTTATAATCATTCTCGAGTGCGTTTAACTTAAAAATGGGTAGAAAGGTGACATCGAGCCT